CTGCTCCCGGCAGAGTGGCTGCCTTCGCCAGAAGATGCTTGGCGTGAACAGAAACGGGAGGGAATGGTGGCAGTGAGGGCATCTTGCGTTCCCTCTTCCACAGTCGTCTAGTTAGGAATTCTGGGTCTCACTTCTTTTTTTAAAATATTCTGACAAGAATTTTATAGACAAAAGAACTGAAAAACCAAAGTTATTACCGAGAATTGTCTGACTTCATAAGCAGCTCCAGCCTTTTATTCCCATCTGAGTTGTGGTTGAGTGGGTTTGGACAGTTTTTCATGTGTGCATGGCTTTGCTGCTTGAGCCCTGGGAGATGGTATTTTTGCTCAGAGAAGAGGGTTCACCTTAGCCTGCTGCAATTTATTTCTGCCTGGAAAGACTTCCAGAATGATTCACAAATTGGCTATGGCAACAGGTAAAAAGAACAACTGTCATGAAAAGGCAACAGCAGCAGCAGGGCAGAATATGTAAGCGTTCCTTGAAAAGGTAACTAAAATATCTTTGCTAAATTAAAAAACATATATGTGCACATGAGCGCATGTGTGTGTGTGTGTGTATACTCACATAAACACACATATATGCATAAAATGATTACACGTAAAATTCTATGTACATATAAATAAAATGACTAATGTGAATGAGTTTGTACGTTCAGTGCCACTATGGTCCATCAACCAGTAGGAAGAAACCCAGGGAAGTCCGTGAAAGCCTGTAGCTATAAGGAATGTTGAGCCACACTCCCACAGCACCTATCTGCTGGCGAAAACACTCCAGCTTGGAGTTGTCCTGCCATCTTTCAAGAGGTGGATGAGGAAATCCTGTCCTTCAGATCAGGGTAAAGGCTCCTTGAGAGCAAGGACTATGTCTCTGTCACTTTTTTGAGCTTCACTTCACTCCATCTCATCCAAGATGGCACAAGGCTAAGTACTAAGGAACTTCGGTATGAAGTATAAGCTAAGTATTGAGGTGCTCAGTGGTTCATTTGTAAAGGGTCACTTTCTGATCCATACTATGAAAGAGAAACAGACATGTGAGAAAATGCTCTTTGGAAAGTGACCTTGTCTTGAACCTGTGGCCCACTTTGTTCTTCTCCATTCCATGACCGAAAGAGAGAAGAAAAAGTCTACGCGGAAATGCTTGATGCTTCCATTTCTTTCCTACCCACTTCTACTTCCTTCTGACACTTGGCATGTCCCTCCAACTCACATACCAAATCACCTCCATCAAAGATTCTTTCCCCTTTCTTTTCACCTTTGGCATCAGAAACTGCTTGTCTGAGCTCCATGCAGGATCCATCTCACAAAGGCTAGAAGCCCCACACACCTGGGATCCACTCTCTGTAGCAAGAGATCTGAATTCCTAGCTCTGGAGCTTCAAAGCAAAGGAGAGAAAGAAATAGAGAAAGAAGGGCCAAAGCCAACTTAAAAACTTCCCATGAGAATGGAAAAGGAGCATGGGAATACGGGAGGAGGAGAAGGAATGCCATCCAGAGACTCAGAGAAATGTAAAAACACGTTTCCTTCCTTCTGAGAGTTCATCTTTGAGGCTTCTGTGGAATATTCCAAACTAGGTCTTTCCAAGAAACTTCAAATCTCACGAAACACTCCACAATTCCTAGGATACATTGTGTGATGTAGTAGCAGATGAAGAGATGAGAAATGAAATAAAATAGAGAAGAAAAAATGAGCACAGTGCTCAAGGTAGAAGAGACCCTTCCAAATGCGCAAGGTCACAGCACCATGCAGGAAAGTGAAGGGCTCACAGGCTGCCAGGGGCTCGCGGGGCTGCTGGGAAGTCACAGCTGATCATGTTACCAAAGGGGAACTGCTAAATCTTATGACTTTGTGTTTAGGATCAGCATAGGGTCCCCAAAGAGTCTACCCGCTAAACTGCTTGAAGAATGTTTTCCAATGTTCTACTGGCATTTCAGGCAGGACACTTCTTTATGACAAGAGCCTTTTTTGCCTATTGAACGACCTTTAATAGCATCCCCTAGATTCTGGACACTAAATGCCAAAGGCACATCCCAATTATAGTGACAAACCAAACAACTGTGAACATTTAAAAACACACCCTTAGCAAAGGATTCAGGGGATATGACCTCCTGTTGAGATCTGCAAGCTTTCCATGAAATTACAAATCAAGCTGTCTTCAATGAAAAATTCTGATGAGGGAGAGTCAAGTGTTTTTCTCAATTGCAATGTTTCAAGCCTAGGAGAGTGGCTATTGTGTAGGGTAGGAAGTCCTGATGGGAGCTGCCTAACATCTGGCTCAAAGCTCAAGAATCTGTCCAACAGGGTGGTATGCAGTCATCCTGCCTCTGCAGGGTTGGCCAAGGCTCTGGGCTCCCACTTGCTGACCAGTGTTAAAATTGGACACATTGTCACCAGTGTTTGGAAATCCCTTACGTATGACAGCTATCACTCCCTGGGCTGCCACTTAGTAGCAAGAGGTGTTCTTCTGCCTCTTCCTTGCTAACAGGAAGAAAGACAACCACAATTTTCTTCCTTTCTTCTTCTTTCTTTTTCTTTCTTTTCTTTTTTTTTTTTGAGATAGGGTCTCCCTCTATCATCCAGACTGGGGTACAGTGTTATAGTCATGGCTTACTGCAGCCTCAAACTCTTTGGGCTCAAGGGATCCTTCTGCCTCAGCCTCCTGAATAGCTGGGACTACAGATGCACACCACCATGCCTGGCTAATTTTGTTTCTTGTGATAGGGTTTCACTATATTGCCCAGGCTGTTGGCCTCAACCTTCTGAGCTCAAGCAATCCTCCAGCCTTGGCCTCCCAAAGTGCTAGGACTACAGATGTGCGCCGTTGTACACAGCTTAACCATAGAAACTCAAAGTTCAAAAGGTCTTTAAGAGATCACTTACATTTGGGAGCAGTGGTGCACAGAGGGTTAAGTGGTTTGCCAAAAGTCACACAGAAAAAAAAACAACCAAAAGCATTTATATACATAAAGTGCTATAGCATACTGTCAGTACTTGATAATTATTTCCCACTGGTATTATCATTTCATCATCCAGGAAGTCCAGCCATTGCTTTAAATGGTATTTCTCTGGAAGGCATAAACTCTACCTACTCACATGAAGGACAAGACCACATGGCTTCCTTCAACGTCCCACAGGACGACCATGGAATGAAATCAAGATTCTTGTCCACAAGCCTGGCAGCCCTTGCTGCTGGCACTGTGGGAGTCCACTGCTTGAGAGGCTACATGATCCCATTTTCCACTTGTACAGTAAAAACACCGAGGGACAGAAATGGAAAGGAAGCAGAAGGCTGCCTAGCTCACAAGGCTTCTAGCGAAACAGTCAAACCAGAGTTGGGCAGGGGGTAGGTAAGTAAACACTCTATTCTCACCTTAGACCAGAGATGGGCTTGAAACTGATTGTGACCATATGTCTACTCCAAAGAGGTCAAGGGGTGAGGGAAGCTCATGTCCAGCGTGCTCTCACATGGATGTGGCAAATACATGATGAAGGCAGACAGTGGCTGAGACCATTCCACATCCCTTGACTCCTAGCACAGATGCCTTCTTCTCCTGCTCCTCTTCATCTCCATCTCTCTACTGCCCCCATCCCTTCTCCCCACAAGATCACTGAATGCTAATATAGAACTCTTATTTCTAAAGCGTTAATTCACTCAACATTTTAAAAGTATCCTTAAGAACTAGTCTTTGCCCTGAAGGAGTCGATGATCCAGCAGGAACATAAAGGCACAGACAACTCATCTGCCACCTCTACACAATGAATGCCACGTGGAAAGTAGACTCACGATCCCCCAGGCATGTTCCTTGGACATAGTTTCAAGAGATGCACTTCCTGAAGAAAGGGTTCCAGGGCCAAAGGGTCAAATAATTTTGGAAAATGCTGTTACCCCTACCCCTTTTAAAGACTGGCAGTACAAATTAATGTACTAAAGGCATTAAGATGTCTTGCAGTGAAAAGCCTTGTTAATGCCGATTAACCCTATCATTCTCAAATGTGTTTGACTACGTAAGTTTATCAACATTTCATGGAAACAATATTCCATTGAATGTGATTTGCTGGATTCTAATTGTGGTGACTAGGAATAGGTGTTAAAGATGATGCTGCCTTTTGACTGGGCCCAAAACATGAGTAGAGTTTCACTAGACCCAGATGGAGGTGGAATGTGCAATCTACTCATGCAACACACACTCACTGAGTACTTCCCAAAAGTGAGCCCAACCTTTGCTTCTGGGGGGCTGCTACCCTGGTTTTCCACTGCAAGGCAGAGTGAAATGCACTAGATCACTAATTTGAGAAAGGGCATCCTGTGTTTGGGGAATAGCAAGGACATGGCTAGAGTAAAGCAGGTGTAAAAAGAGAAGGAATAAAGAATAAGGCTGGAGCCAAACAGAAAAAGGATCTATTAGATCAGTTGTTTATCAGGCCACCTGCTACCTGTTGACAGCTAACTGGCCTAGACAGTGTTGATCATTCTCCTCTGCTGTGGCTAGTGAAGAAACCCCGGGCAAGATCTTCCCCTCTCTAGGCCTCAGTTTCTTCATCTATAAAATGACCGGATTCTCTAAGGCAACTTGCAGTAGCGAAGTCTCAGTGCTCTGTGATTATAGGATGTAAAAAGGCAGCACATACCAGCACTAAAGGACAGGAAGATTCTGGGGACAAGAGAGCAGCTATTGGTTTATACATACATTACTCAATCGTGCTAAAAAATGTAAGGGAAGCAAATTTGATTCTTGTACTAAAATCAAGACATATTTTAGACTAGAATGCGATATTCTCAATGTATTTTAGAGATTTAAAAATAGAACTTAAGGAAAGATCTGGCTTGTGTGAGCTTTTGGTCTTACAGCCCTGAGTCCCCTGGGTGCTCATTCACTGTCTCCCAGTGTGAAGAGTGTACTTGGAAAGTTGAACTGGGATCTCAGAGCTTTAGCCATTTAAATCTTGTAAAGACTGAAGTCTATTTATCCTTACTTAAGCTGTGCTAAAGAGACAGAAACTCACCATTGGACTGGTCTTCCCCATAGTTTTTATGGGATGGTGCATACAAGAACATCAGAGCAAAGACATACAGGTTCCACATTCCATAGATGCCCGTGAAAAAGGCACTGTTCACTTGGACTGTGACGCCGCCCCATTTCCAATGGCCTTCCGTTACCTATGGAGAAAGGATGGTGATATTCAGTTGAAACAAAGAAACAGAAGAAACATAAAACCAATAAAGAAACCAACCAACAGGAAAACCAAGTCTCTTCTACATATGAGAAAAGTGAAGGGCCATGTAAGACTCCATCTTTTAATCTGAATCATTTCAGTATAAATTAAGATCAACTGAAGGTTGTCTGTGTCAGGCACAACCAGTGGTTCTTACCTTGGTTACATATTAGTATCACCTGGGGAGTGTCTCTTCCTATAAACAGCAATTCATTGCTATTCCTAAGTTAAACAAACTGTGTCTGAGCCCAACACTTAATCACAATGATAATTTCTCCTCTGCTGTCTGTCTTCTCAGCTAGATGTAAATTCCCTGCAGGCAGAGACCGGTTCGCTTTCCTTTGCTACCATGTCTTTGGGGCCTGATGCACCGTAAGTTAATTCAAATCCAGTGTCTACCACTCATTCAGCTTAATGTAAGACAAGTAAGATGAAGAATCCAAACTTCAGAAGTTCAGTGTCCTTAAGGGTAAAATAAAAGCTTGAAGGTTACTGAAGAGAATTAAGTAAAAATATTTCTAGAAACTGCCTGGCATACAGTAAACACTCAGTAAATCTTAGTTATTTCTATAATGTCCCTCGAAGTAAGCCACTCATGAAGATAATTATGAAGCTTTCATATGCTTTGAAATTCTGCAAGAGATGTTTTGAAGCTGCTTTTGTCTGTGTTAATGACTTGGTAATTGTCTTAAGGGACGCCTAAAGATATATGGATTACACTAAGAACTGTCAACAGAGCTGCTGAGCTGAATGATTAATTTGTGCCAGCTCTGAGAAAAATGAAATGATTTTGACCACTTCTGCTTGCTATAGGACATTTAAAATGGAAACTGAAGAAAGCATCGGATAAATGTTCCTTTGACAGCTGAATGAGGCTGCGTTGTATAAACCATCTCTAGGAACCACTTTTAAATTGTAAGATGGCAGGCTAGATTGAAATGTTAAGACCTTTAACAAGCAGGTGAATTTCATTGCCTGTTTAGGATACAGTGGGTCTGTGTTTATTCAGTATCTGCTGTATAATCCATAACCCGCTGGGGCCCTAGGCCAAATTAAGGTCTAAGTATAGATACTTTCTTTTGAAAGACCCAGTGTGTCAGTTAACCACATTAACCAATTATAGACTCACCAGTTTTAGTTTGGCTTTGGTGATACATAATTTTTCATTTTTTTGTGACTCATAAACAAACCACCATTATGAACTCTTATTTATTTTGGAAAATAATGCATTTTATATAAAATGCCCAGGAGTGTTTTTTGGCAAAGAAGGATTTCGTAACCATTACTAATTTTAGGACAATATACCAGCATTCAAGCTACTTAGGACTTCGTAGAAATGTCTCCAAATGTCACTCTTCTTACTTTTAAGTGCAGAATGTACTAACTTTATAAAAACTATATCACTTAGAGCATCTTATGATGATTTTTATTGCATATAATGGAAAAGAAAAGAAAGCATTAATATAGTTTCCAGAAATACATGTACCTGCTGTCATAACACAGATTTCTGTATGTGATGAAGGAGGGGAGGTTAGGCTGTCACCCATCCTAGCTGCAAGAAAGAACATGGCAATATGGTATCTCTTCTACTCTCTGAAGGCAGTGGACATTTCAGCTCAGGGAAGGGCTAGGAAGAGACCCTACTGCCTGGAACAGAAGTTGGAAATAGTATTGACTATTTTAGTGACATTGATTCTTGGTAGGGTTGACATGACTGACCCATCTAAGAAAACACCAACCTGCATGCCTGGTACACAGTGGTGCTCAACAGATGTATGTTGAATGAACAGAGGTGAAAGTACAGGCCTAGATAGGGACTCCAGGGCAAATACATGGAGGTAGAAAGTGGAGATGGAAACAGCCACTCTTTTTTTTTTTTTTTTGTGATGGAGTTTCACTCTTGTTACCCAGGCTGGAGTGCAATGGGGCGATCTCGGCTCACTGCAACCTCCGCCTACTGGGTTCAAGCAATTCTCCTGCCTCTGCCTCCTGAGTAGCTGGGATTACAGGCACGCACCCATGCCCAGCTAATTTTTGTATTTGTAGTAGAGACAGGGTTTCACCATGTTGACCAGGATGGTCTCGATCTCTTGACCTTGTGATCCACCCTCCTCGGCCTCCCAAAGTGCTGGGATTATAGGCGTGAGCCACCGCGCCCGGCCGGAAACAGCCACTCTGAATAAGTACTTGACTGAAAAGTAAAGAGAAAGTATTGCAGTCCACAGTAAGTCATAGTAATTGACTTTGAAAGTGAGAGGAGATGCCAGTGTGTGACAAGTGTTACATATTCATTTAAAATACTGCTTTCTGTTACATTTATTATCATTTAAAATAACTGGTTAACACAAATATTCACAAAGCTAAGATTCTTTTATATTCATAACAAGGATAAACATTTATTTAATGCTAACAATGTGTCAGACACAATACTAAACGCTTTACATGAACCACATTATTTAGTCTTACTAACAACGCTGTGAGGTAGGTAGGTAATACTTCCATTCAACACATAGGTAAATTGTGGCACAGAGAGATGTAATATCTTGCCCAAGATTGCTCAGCCAGAAAGTCATGGCTCTTACTCCGAAAGAAGGTATTCTTAACCATTATACAACACAGGGTAGGAAATGTTATCTTAAACAGGGGTTGGTCTCTGAAGGTAGCACATGAGGCGATGATTGGGTAAGGTCAAATTCCTTTGGAAATTCACTTCATTGCCCATAATATACAATACTAACAGAGCATACATGCACAGGTTTGTATGTGTATTCAAATCTGTAGACACTGTATATCCCGGACATGGGAATGTATGGCATTAAAAACTAGATATATAAACAAAATAAAAATTTACAGGAGCACCACTGGATTGAGATCCCATAGTATGAGAGGCACACAAGAACTAAGCCTGACAGGAAATATCAGACTCATGCTCTCATCTCATACTTGCTCTGGGACACATGTACATTGTTTAGAGTGGAGTTGCAGAATTACACATACTACTGAGCATGCAATCCGCAAATGTGGTGTTGCCTGCTGTGGGCAAAGAGCTGAAATGCCGAAATAAACAGTATAGATAGTGTAACTCTACTGTTTGGTGACTGGATTATTTTTCCTTCTCCTCTCCCAATTATTCATGCCTGAGACATCCTCAGCTCTGAGCACATTCCCACCAATATGTACCACAATGAGCAGCCTCAACAGAGCAGGCCTTGTATATCCAAACTCTTTCTAATGCCAAGGCAGAGATAATAGTCTCTGCCTTTTAACTTTGAGAGAAAAATCAGGTAGCCCTGGCCCTCCCCCGCCAAAACCGTCCCCCACCACACACAAAAATCCCCAAATCTCACCCTCTGCATAAGTCTTATTTCTAAAAGTCCCTGTTTTTCCTGATTTTACATTTGAACAATTTACTTTTGTGTGAAACCACCCAATTATACCCCTGGAGCCAAGTGAAGGTCAAATCCCTTTACACCCAGTAGTCTTGACAACCAACATTCCACTTAACAACAAGATTTCCAAATCCCAGACACAGGCTCTCTTACCGGAAACATTTCCTCTGTAAGTAACAGAATGAAGTGATCACACACACACAAAAGAGCTGGGGACAGGCTCTCTGGGAGTTTGCTGCATGTGGCTTGACCTGAATGTCAGGCACCTGGGGGTCCCCTTAATGAAGGTCGGTGACCTTCTCCCCTGCACTGCACTTCTGTTCCCTACTGCTGCCACCTCTAAATGGAACGCCTCTTTCTTTTCCAGAGGGAAGGGGCTGAAATACCAGACTGCGATGTACCATCTCTTGGTTGCTATGACTGAGGCTGTTAAAATGGCAGGCATTAAAAGACTGCACCTCAGTACCCAGCTACAAAGCCTCAAGGTCACTGCATTCCACAGCTTCCCGTCGCCTTTCATTCCTGGCCTCAGAGCTTCAATATCCTGGCGAGATCCCCTCGCATTATATTTCATGAGGCTTAAATGCAAGCTCTCCCACAGCAAGCCTGGGAGTATAATGGGGGTTTTAATACATTCCTTTTACCTAAGGCTGGGATCCATTTCAAAAAGTTACCCAATAGGTTTCCTTTCAGGTGAGCTCATTGCTCTGACATTCCAAAATGACATTAAAAAATAAATCCTCTGATGACTATATTAATACAGTACCTGGGACACTGAGAGTTGTGCCGGAAAACGTCTTAGATGTCTATAAATAAATCTTTAAAAAAAAACCCAGCAGGAGGAATGTGAGGAGCTAATGGAATTCAAAAGGCCTCATTGCTACCCCCTCCGAGTTGAAATCCACTCTGGGCAGACTGTCGCAGCAGATATAAAAAGCCAGCCACAGGCTGAAGCTGTATTAGAAAATCCTGGGGCAATGGAATATTAATCTTTTTCTCTAAAGAAAAGCCACAAACTATGCTCCTTGGAAGATGGCTTCCTTTGCTTTAAGAAGTACATTAATTAAACATGTACAAGGTTAAATCTTGGCAACATGCAGCTGCTTCAGGGACCAGTCCTTCTTGACTTCAGGTGGAAGGATCTCCGCAGAGACCAGACATACATGAGATGGCGTGGGGAGAATGATGTCAGATTCCCAAACCAGCAGAAGGACCCGTGTGAGGCCTCAGGACCAAAAGGGCCCTTTCTTTCTGCCTTCCTGAAAACATATCTCGAAATTGACTTTTATGCCTCGACCCATCCTCCTTGAGATTCTGTTTCTCCGTGCTCCGTGCCCGCTCAAACTTGCAGACCTGGCTGTGTCAAGTGTCACTGTGCACTACTGAGGGACTGGAGGAACTGAAAAGCATGTTGGTCATGGCAGGGAACTGCCGCGGGAGAAGTCAGGCCTCACACTCTTGTTTGAATATGAATGTGTGAGTCTTTGCTGGTAGAATAAAAAACTCTTTCAGAGTTTGAAATAGTTTTACTGCAAGTGGAGTGGAAAGCGAAGTTTCCAAGGTTTTATAAACAAACAACCTCATACAAACACAGCAGTGTTATAGGTCAAGGCACATGTGATGAACAGGACATATGAAGACATACATGTATATCAGTTTTATTTTTTTCCATGTTCATTTCAACCTCAGTAGAGCTAGCAACACTAACACTACCCAGTGACGCAGCCAACAGCAGGGCTCTAGAGGCTCCAAACTTGGGATCCCCTTGGGCGTCCTTGGATGGAATTCAAGAGGTCCATAAATTAGAATAGAAAAAAATTCTATCTTTATTTTCACTACTGTCTAACTGAAAGATAGTATTTACTTCAATTATGGATGTAGAAAAATCCCTGTCGTATTAGTACTATCTGTGATATTTTCAATAGACATTACGATATTTTCACATCAATTACAGTTGTAAATATAAGTCTGTAATACACCTGTAACGTTTCACTGTAAATATGTATTATATATCATATATAGAGATGATTCCCTTTGAAATTCAAAGTATTTTATTTTACTCATTTGAAAACATTCTAAGAGGAGACTCGCAGCCTTCATCAGGTTGCTAAAGGGGTCCATATAAAAAAACGCTTTCCCTGTACTAGGGAAACTTGCTAGCAGAATGAAGCAAGTCAAGTCCTAAGGCACTATCTGCACTGCTGAAATCCTCCATTTTGGCTAAATGACAAAGCATTGGCAAAAGCGTCAGAAGGAATGGGTTCTGATCTCTAACTTACTGCATGTCCTTTGGCAAGAAAGACATTCAGTCTTCCTGCTATTCAGAACACAGATATTCATGCTCACAAATGTGCCAGGTGCTCTGCTAATTACATTTGGGTGCACAATGATGGCTCAGTCAACAACAGATCACATATACGATGGTGGTCCTGTAAGATTATAATACCATTTTTTTACTGTATTTTTCTATGTTTAGATGTTTGAAATATACAAATACTTACCATTGTGTTACAATCACCTACAGTAGTCAGTACAGGAACATGCTCTACAGGTTTGTAGCCTAGTAGCAATAGGCTACAACATATAGCCTACGTAGGTAGTAGGCTATACCATCCAGGTTTGCGTAAGTACACTCTTTTATGAGGAACTCACATAATGATGCATTTCTCCGAATGCATCCCTCTTTGTAAATATTGCTTCCTGTGATCATCACAGCAGCTTTCTGTAGGTCTATAGTTATATTTATTTTGCACATAATAAAATTAAACCTTAGAACTGTTAAGTAATTCATCCACAGTCCTAACCAGCTAGAAAACAGCATAAATGAAAATTTTCTCTAAAGCTATTAAATATCATATTCTAGCAAGCTAGGATAACAATTCCTGCCCTACTTACCTTGTAGGATTTTTGTGATGCTCAAATGAATAATAGATACATTAGATTTAAGCAGTACTTTCCACCCTCCAAAACAAGTTATGAATATTTTTAAATTATTATCCTTATTGAGATTTTCAACTATAGCAAAATTTTGAGTTTTGGAAATAACCAGCGAAAAGACAAGAGGCTATCAAAGGGACTTTTGAATTATGTTTCATATTTGTGGCAATATAATTATTACAAAGAGTAGCTGATGGACTGTATAAGGATCTATGTTAATGAGAGATAAAAAGAGAATCAAACTTATGCTTGTCAGTGTTGTGCTACAAGGCTTCCTAAGTTTATTCTCATAAGTAAATAAAATATGTGTCCTTCAATCTGGCTGCAGGCTTTTACTTTATTTAGCAACTTTTATCTCCTACAAGGTTTTATGGAAAGAGAAACTTTAGTTCATTTGGCCAGGTGATATCAAGACCCAGAAAAATATGGCTTGACCAGCTGTCCAGAATCATGTCTACTCTGCTCCTTTCCTCAGTAGCTCTATAGAATTTCTGTGCAGGGTAGAGGAACCTCTCCAGAGACATTCTCACCTTAACATCTCAGGGTCTACTTACCTGACTAACGATGAAGAAGATGACAGTCATGGCAGCACAGGCCAAGGTGATAAGCATGAGGAACTTGAATCTAAAAATTAGCCCCTATTAGAAAAGAGAGAGTAGTTTAATACTCCATCAGCTACCAACCCTTTTCTCACTATGCAAATCTATAAAAAGCTTAATTTTAAAGAAATCTGTAAAACCAAATCCCTAAGAATGACAGTAACATGATTTCCCATAGTAATATTTCTCCTGCAGAGGTAGGTGTGGCTGAAAATTTCTTGGGTCAAATATTTCCCATGTTGTTATCACTCATAAAGCGGCAATACGAGAGCCTGGGAAATTATATTCACAACACGTCGTGAGGCTGCTAATTTCCCTGCTAAGCTGGTTATGCTTCTCTGCAAGGGTTCAAAGTTACCAAATCCAAGTTTTCTGTGGTTGTAATAAAATTCTGCTCCAGTGAACAAAAAGAAATGTGCATATTAATCAACATGAAGTGGATTTGGTTGAATTTTCTCATGTCACTCCAGCTCTGGAGACAGGCAAGCCTTAGAAAGTGCCCGTGGTTTCCTAAGAGCAGGATTTAAGAGAACCTGTGTTTCAAGGAGGGAGGCCTATTATTCAAGGCTCTTATGTGCAGATCCACTGCATATAAAAACTCTGAGGTTCTGTAGTTTCTGCTTCTCTTTTCACACTGGAATTAGGCTTGTTTCTCCAAGGACAGCCACTTAGGCATGAACCCAAGGAATCCCTGAAAAATCAAGGATGTGTTGCCTGCACTGGGGATTTGAGGATGTTAAGTCTTTCTCTTGAATGAAGAACATAATCTATAAACAGAGATTACTGAACTCTGTCTGAGCACCTGCTGGATATTTCAGGGGAACGTGGGCTGTTAAGGGTCTAGAAATCAGATCACCTGGGCTAACCCCTGTTTAATTACAGGACAGGGTTGATCCTGGGACAGAACTTTGACGAAGGCTCATCCCAACCAAATTCCAATTCTGCCATAGTCCAATCTCCCATCTAGTATGCACCTACATTCCATCACCAAGTTGAAGAACCAGCTGAACAAGTTTACTCCTTACTGGGAATTGAAACACATTCATACCGCAGAAAACGCCAAGATTTAGACAGGCCAGCTAGATGCTTCTCAGAGTAAGATTTGGCCTCTAATTTTGCCCAGAGATCATACATGAGAACCTCTCAACGTGTATTTCAAAGTACAGGCCTTCTATCTCTGGGGCGTGTGTGTTTACACATCAAGTGGAAAGATCAAGCAAACATTCTGTTCTAGAGCGAGCCAAGAAATTTGCCCACCTCATAATGTAGCCGCCGGACTTTGCTCATAGCTGGCAGGCTGGACTGCTTCCCACTGATGTTCCGAAACACCTGAAATACCATGAAGCATAGAAACAGGAAGTAGAGGCAGAGGCAGATTCCAGCCACGATAATGAAGGCCATCTGGCAGTGTCCAGTAAAGGAAACAACAGGCTAGCCAAGGGCAAGATGAGCGGGTCTAGGCACTTCTCCCCAGATCTGCTGGCAAAACTTGTTTTGTCTCCAAATATGTAGAAAATTTTTAAGGGGATAAAATATTAAAACCTGGCATTCTAATGCAGTGATGGGTTTCTTGACACAATAATACCACAGAGGGAGGTGTTCAATACCACTTTCTAAACCAAGTAAGAAAAGACATGGTGTCCTGCTTGTTAGATATGAAGAGTCCAGGGCTTATCCTAGACCTAATGGATCAGAATCTGCCTTTTAACCAGGTCCCCAGGAGATTCGTATGCACAATAAATTCGAAAAGTACGAATAAAGCATATATTGATCACTTAATAAGGATCAGATGAAAAACCACATTAAAATCACCAGAAGAGTTCAAATATAGATCTCCAGGCCCCAACCCAGATATATGGAATCAGGTTTTCCCAGATATATGGAATCATACTTGAGGGCTAGGACATCACGAATGACTATGTTTGGAAACCACTGGGCTGGTCTTTAGAGTTTTACAGGAATCAGGTTGAGATGCTCTGGCATAACTGAAGAGGGGATACATGGGGGCTCTGTGCAGCAGCTCAGTGCACGGGCCCTGGGCATGGGCTTTAAGGTCTTGAAGTAAAACGAGGGATGAAGGGCTACTTGCAGTCTTGTCACCACGGAAAATCTCATCCAACGGAATGGGGATTGAAAGACATACCCGGCACAAGTGGGAGTTTGGGTTGCTCCCAGTATACTTGAGACCTCCCACTGGAGCCGATCTGAGAACCATCAAGTCTTGGGGTAGCATAAGCTTCCTTGGAAGGTCGGTGACCTGATTTCAACTCCTTTCTGCTACAACCCTACCCAAATTGCCTACTTTTTTTTTTTTTTTTTTTGAGACAGAGTTTTGCTTTCATTGCCCAGGCTGGAGTACAATGGTGTGATCTTGGCTTACCACAACCTCCCAGGTTCAAGCAATTCTTCTGCCTCAGCCTCCCGAGTAGCTGGGATTACAGGCATGAGCTACCAAGCCTGGCTAATTTTATATTTTTTAGTAGAGATGGGGTTTCTCCATATTGGTCAGGCTAGTCTCGGACCCCTGACCTCAGGTGATCCACCCACGTCGGCCTTGCAAAGTGCTGGGATTACAGGCATGAGCCACCATGCTAGGCCCAAATTGCCTGTTTTAAAAAGCACTTAGTAAGTATGAAGTTGGTATGTATATTTCATTAATAATATAATACCTAATTTAGTTTCTCCTTCCTATAATGAACAGTATCCTGAAATGAATGGGAATATAGTTATTTTCTGCAGGACTTAAAATTTTACTCACTCCATCATATCTATAAAATGAAAATCTTGAACTAGATTTAACATTATAAATGTTCTTGTTGTGCAGCTGACACTTGGGTGGGGGCATAATGGAGGCAGGGTAGAGCTTCTCTCTCTGAGGTAATGATACTATTGATTTCATTTGCTTACAACGTTCCTGTGACATTAAGAAACCAATATAAACATCATGGCAAGACAAAGCGTATTCATTAGCACATAGCAAGATATGAGCTATCAAGGAAGAATACAACCCAAGCCTTTCTTTCCACTCCAGAGGGAAGTCTTTTTCTCCAAAGAGCATTTAACATACTATTCAGGAAGATAAAATATTTAAATTCCGCATCCTGAAATCCAGCGTCCTAAAAGGGATAAGCTAAGACTGTCACTTCTGCTTCATGAAGATGACTTAGACAGAGTTTATGCCAACCAACCAGAAGCCTCGGCGACTCCTCTGGAACTAATCACCTTAGCCTTATCGCCACTTGGTCTCAGGAACGAATAGCAGCAGTGTGGTTTGACAGCACACCAAGGTCGCTGTAGGAAGTCTTACACACAGGCAATTTCAGAAACAGGCTCTCCCACAGCGGCCTAGAGGTGAGCCTCCATAGCTCCGGGGAAAAGCTAGTCATGCTTCAGTCTGCAGTAAACAGTGTATAATAGATAAATTCAGACAGGCTGCGGTAAGCCCAGCAACTTGGATCTCTCTGCTGTGAGGATGGGCTGCAACTTTCTCATTTTGCCTGCTCTCACCAGGCTGGAAAGCAAGCAATAATTCTTCTCATTATTAGCCTTGATGGTGCTGTTATCACTGGCATGAGAATCAAAGCCCTGCCTGAGTACATATGGGGAGTATCAGCAGAGCCTTAGAAACTGATCTTGGGGGCTGGGTGGCTAGTGGAATAAATAAAACCTGAGCCCATCAAGAAAGGATACGGCCAGCTCTGTTCCAACATCTGTAGTCCAGATACTATAGAAGGGATTCGTGAGTTGTACCCCTCTACAACGAAAATGAGATGAAAAGGCAAGACACAATTAATACAAAGGCAAACAGGCACTTTCCTTTTCACGTATTCTTAGCTTTTCAGCTGCAGGAGTGAGGGCTATATTTAGGCTAAAAAACATTACAGGATCCTAAAGAGAAACGAAGCTGGTAGAATACATCAACCCAAACATTTTGCACCTGTAAAGAGCTGTGCCTTTGATTTGATCCCAGACCTTGCCTGAGGATGTGAACACATCCACTGCTTCCGTACCAAAGGATCCCAACCACCATTCTCCTTTCCCAACACTTCTCCTAAAGTGACAGGAGCGGATGTGGTGGTGCAGTTTGGCTCAGCGTCCCACAAACACCTGCTCACCTCTCACACATGTCAAATATGAAGAGGCAGAAGGAGCCAACGGCAATGGGTCCGACTTGCTTCCAATATCCTGCAATATGGTTCCGCTCGTGCTGATCCTGAGGAAAACCAAATTGAAAAGGGGGATAGAGGGGAGAGGAAGACCAAGCTATTCTATGAAGGAGTCAGGATTCAAAGGACACTTGCCGACCACCTGTTGTATATCGAGCACCATGCTAAACTCTAGGTGTATTGAGAACAAAGAAGACAAAAATCTCTTCTTCAGGAGCTCACCCCTGGGGAGGAGTCTGGCACATACGCAGACCATGACAAAGCCCAGCCATGAGGACTCTGAGAGTAACAAGAACAGGATGCCATGAGAACACAAAGAAAGGCCTCGGTTCCCAGGCAGGGGACATTTTGTGCTCCACAAAATAACGCATCAGCATTAAATTTCTATGTGACTTCGAACTTCCGTTGATAAAAGCGAGTGAGCTCCCAGAAGACAAAGTAAAGACATTAAAGCATTTAAATATGTGCAGTATGTCTCTTATAGGCAGATTTTCTCCCCATCCTTATTAAAACCAGGGATGATTCTCCTTGGTAAACAAAGACACCAAGAGGAAGAAAACGAAGGAATGCAGAATGAGAAAAAAGGGAAAGGGACCAAGTCCCCTCTACTCCAGGCCCTGCTGCCGGGGCCTCATTCTCAGCACGTGTCTGCTGGAGGACCCCCTCACAGGGAAAGACCCCCTGATGCAGAGAGTTTAGATCTCTTTCTCTCTCCCTCTGCTCTCACACTGCTCTCTCAGAAGGGCAGCAAGACTTCAGAGGTCTGGCTTTTATTATTGAGCCATAATGGAATTTAAAAACAGTCCACTCTGCTATGAAGCCCATGTGCCTGACATGAAGACCAAGTTCCAGCTGGCACATGATCTTAGCCACAGTGTGATGACGACACCATTCTTATTTTTAACCATGGTATCTTCAATCCCTCTTGAAATATGACTTGTGCCTGTGCAAACTGAGGAGACTGGGAAGGTCTGTATTTCAGAGGAATAGAGGTTAGTAGGCCACCAAACACACCGCCAGCTGGAAAGAGCCAAGCCCACATTCTCTGGTGGTTAACCTGTATTCCTGGGGACAGAACAAGCAGGGCAGAAGCCAGCGGACAAGAAATTCAAGCTCAAGGGCAAGAAATAATACTAATCATTTAAGTGACTCACATTCTGTCATTCAATTCTCACAAAAACCCTATGCATTAGGCCTTTACATCCCATGTTATAGATGAAGGACCTGAAGTTCAGAGTGAAAATGTCACGTGCCTAAAGCCACTCAGCTGGTCAGTAGGTGGTGAAGCAGGAATGTGAACCAGAGGGTCTGCCTCCAGAGCTCCCACTTACTTAACTACTAGTTTATTCTGTCTCACCCACTGCCGACTGGAGGCAACGAGGGGCAGGTGTCAGCTTGGCCTGCACGGAGCAAGTGGTACAGACGTCCGTCCCTCTGGGGGCTCTTACCATCATGTGCTCGCCACAGAAGATGATCCAGAAGGACAGAAGCATCGCATAGAAGATGCCCTGTCGGATGTCACCAAAGAGCAGCATCCAGGTCCAGTCAAACCCGATGGAAAACCACTCCACTGGGATATTGATAAAGGTCATGGAAATCCCAAGGGCAAAGATGACTCTGGTGGTGAGAAAATATCAGAACATCTACGTCATTCCTCTGGAAGGCAGATTTTCAAGCAATTCCCAGAATTCAGTTTTGAGACATGAGAGGTTACTTATTGGGCCTGAAGCCACATGATCACTTTCTTCCGCATAGAGACGCAAGTTGGCACCACCGAAGAATGAAGGAGTGCCACATCGACCTTTCTGTGGAAGCGAATCTGATCTCCTTGATGCCCCACACTTTATTTTGGTGCCACCACAGATGAAGAGCTTCCTGTAATGTTTGTCCCCCCCTTGCCTTCTGACCCAGGCCTCAGTGAGTATAACTGTCCTCATTCACCTACTCAGGTTATCATTCATCTGATCATTAAGAACACTAGTTATTATCGTGATATCCTCAGCAACTATGAATTATATAAGCATGTGTGTTTCAATAATACATGACTCCAAACACATTTGAAATGTAAATTCTCTTGACTGCTTGTTTAGCTTTTATTTTACCCTTCCCCCGTCACACTAAGAACTGCCAATTCTCTATTAAAATATAATTCTTATGTCACTGATTTATTCATACTTTTTTCCATCTCCTTGAAATTAAGCACAGATCATGTACCAGGCATTGTGTTAGCAGTATAGAACCCTAAATGAACAGGACCTGTTTTTTTGCTCACAGGAGATACAGTTAGTGGAGGAGCCAGATAAAGAGACAATTGAGTAGAGTAGGATCGGCAATATCATTGAGTTATAAAGAATAGCAGGCGGCTACTAGGACTTCTGACTTTGACACAGAAATGAAGCTGAGTTGTGAGTCAAGGTTAGGGAGGCAGAAAGGGTATCTGGAGGAGAGGGCAGAGCGTGGATGGAGGCACAGAGGCCGGAAGAACCTGGTACATGTGGGGATCTGCATGTAGCACATGGGGAAATGACAGGACATGAGATCAGAGAAGCAAAGAAGGCTGCGCTCATGAAGAAACTTGCATACCCCATTAGAGAACTGAAATTTATCTTGAAGAGATTTTTTTATTGGAATCCAATAAAAAGTTTAAACAATGGAGTGACATGATTCATTTACTCAAAAATATTTATTAAACTCCTACTATGTGTCAGTCACTATGCTAAGATGCGGGGGATATACTTGTAAACAAAACAAGCAAGGATGTTGCTCTTGTGATGCTTCTATAGAGATGCAGTGAGAGAAGGAGTACAGAGAAAAGATAATAAATAAAAGAAGAATGAGCGTCATGAAAAAAAAGCTAGGCAAGAGAGTGGAGAGCAATGGGGATGTGATTTTACATAAGGTGGACAGATGAAGAGATCAGCAAGTGTGAAGGCCTTGGGGTGAGGGTTTGAGCACAATAAAGGGGCTGGTGGGTGGTGGTGAGGACAAGTGACAAGATCAGAGGTGGAAGGCACCCAGTCATCAAAGGGCTTATAGGTCACGGCAAAGCAGATGAAAAGCCAGCGGAGAGCTTTGAGCAGAGGGGTAACAGGATCTGATTAACACTTGAAAGGGGGCACTCCGGCTGCTCTGTGAATAGGCTGCAGGGAGGCACATGGTGGAAGCAAGCAGAGCGGCTGGGAGGCTGTTCCCACTGATCCAGGTGAGAAGTGACAGTGGGTGGGTTAGATTAGGGTGGCAGCAGTGGAAATGGTGAGATTTCCCGGTGAGCTGGATGAGAAGTGTGAAAAACAGAGACATACAGGATGACTCGCTGCTACTTTTCTAGTCTGAGCAACTGAAAGGATGGAGTCGCCATTTATGGAAATGGGGAGCCTGGGAGGGAAACAGGTTGGAAGTGGGACACAATCAAGTGGTACATGTGACATTTTTAAGGCAAATGAAGACATTAAGAACTGGAATATTTGGGTCTAGAGTTGGGAGAGGCTGACGCTGAAGAAACAAGAGTCATCAGAGAGTAGATGATTTTTCAGAGAACGAAGGTAGGCGAGATCACCTGGGGAAAAACAAGGCTAATAAAGAGAAGAGGTCCAAAGCAGGTGCCCCAGTCCCAAAGTCTAAGAGGCTGGAAAGATGGAAGGAGACAAGAATGGAGACTAAATGCGAGTCACCAAAGAAGGATGACCAAGACAAGTAGAGGAGACTCTGGGAAGAAAAAGAAACTGATCAATTATGTCAAATGCTGGGATGAGTAAAAAAAAAAAAAGTGAGGACTAAAAAACGACCTTTGCATTTGGACTATGAGGGTCACTGGGGATTTTATGAAAAGTAGTTGTAGTGGAGTGGTGGAGATGAATCCAGACTGGAATGGACTCGAGAGAACAGGAAGAAGGCATATGCACAAGATTTTTGAAACGCATTGCTGTGAAGAGGAGCAGAAAAAGGGTATGTGGCTTCAGGGAGAAGTGGGAAATGGGAGAGTTTTGTGTAGGAATGGGAGATGATAGGGCATGTTTGTTGCATATTAATGGAAAGATCTGGCAGAAAGGGAGAAGTCAGTGATGTGGAGAGAAAGTGGACACATATGTAGGAACACTGTCTTTCTGTAGGTGAGAAGAGCTGGGCTAAGTTAAGAGACACTACCACACAGACAACGATCTGATTCTGACCATGGAATATCCCAAAGAGCAAAGATGGGTTAAAGAGCCAGAAAGGTCAGCCAGGCGTGGTGGCTCACACCTGTAATCCCAGCACTTTGGGAGGCCGAGGTGGGCAAACCACTTGAACTCAGGAGTTTGAGATCAGCCTGGGTAACACAGCAAAACCTTGTCTCTACAAAAAATAACAAAAAACTAGCTGGGAAGCATATACCTGTGGCTCTAGCTACTGGGAGGCTGAGGTGGGACGATCACTGGAGCCTGGGAAGTCAAGGCCACAGTGAGCTGAGATCCCAACACTGCACTCCAGCTTGGGCAACAGAGTGAGACCCTATCTTCGAAAAATAAATTCATTAAGAAGAGCCAGAAAGGCAAGAGAAGTAGAACCCCGAGGATTTACTTAGTAACAGCTTGCATAGGAAAGCTGCAGGAGAGAAAGGAGTGCAGGATGACTCCTGGTCAAATCACTGGCCTAAGTCACACACGGGCTGCTTGAACTGGACCCCAGTAAAAACAAGAGCTTGGCAGATGATGGGAAGCCAGTGTTCCTGAAGAGCACTCCAAAACCAACTCTTACTTTTCCAGAAGCACTGGGGGTCGGGACATCATGGTGATCCTCCTCCAGTACCACACCATAATGATGAAGATGCTGGGCGTAAGGAAGGTCTTCATGGCAAACCACACCTTGGTGAAGCCTCCATTTTGGTGGATGCCCTAAGCAGAGACCAATGATAATTCTGAAGGTAAATATTATCTTAGCATTTTTTTTCTACTAGCAAATGTGTTCGTGGGAGAGCTAAGTGGAGACCCTGTCTGCAAAATGTTCACGATCAACAGCTTTCACATTCATAGCATGCACTGCCTGCATACACCCTTGGCGTCTGCTCAAAGATGACAGAAATACGTACTAAAAGACTTAAAAATTGGCCTGCCCTATGCTATGGACCTGAGGCCAGAGAAATAAAGATGGCATCCCATTCATAGTAATGGCCTTCATGCTCTGGGGTCTGGAAGAAGAGCAGAGGGTTTGGGGCAGGTTTGCTATTTCTGATAGACTTTGAATTATCTTACCTCGGACTCATCCCACTGACTTTAAAATCCTAATGCCTAAAGGTACACCTTAGAGCAGGCATCCCCAAACTATGGCCCGTGGGCCGCATGCGACCCCCTGAGGCCATTTATCCGGCCCCCCGCCACACTTCAGGAAGGGGCACCTCTTTCATTGGTGGTCAGTGAGAGGAGCACAGTATGTGGCGGCCCTCCAACGGTCTGAGGGAGAGTGAACTGGCCCCCTGTGTAAAAAGTTTGGGGATGCCTGCCTTAGAGGTATGAATTAATAGGGCAGGTGTGGATTAATAGCGCATACAGGGTGTATGATGTCTATTCAGCTATCACCCCCTATTGCACCCCCAATAAAGCCACATTTGATGTAGAACCAAAAATTTCAGGTAAAAAAGCAGCGATACCTTCTATCCCTTAACAACTCCCTTGACCATTTAATCCTCTTTAGAGCCTTCCATCTTACTTGATATACCAGGGCTCCGAGAGATTCCTCCCCATGCTAAGATAATGATTTAGTACATGATCAAATGATTTTGGTAAGCTTCTCATTAGAAAGTTGCAGATATCCTAGATGCTTAATATGTTGAGATTGTAAGTGTTAATAAAGGGATTCTATAAAATGCTAACCAACATTGGAAAGCATATTTACATTACACTCGCCAGTTTATGTTATATATACCATGAAATAAAGAAAGCAAGGAACAAAAGTCAGTTCAATATGATCCTACTTTTGTAAGAGAATTACTATGCGTGTATTTAAAAAAAAAAGCCTGAAAGATCAATCAAAACCTGAACAGTAGCTATTTCTCTAAATAGTAAGACATTACAGGTAATTTTTATGTTTTTCCGTGTTTTTACCCAATTCTTGTGGGACTTCACTGAGATTGAAAAGAAATGGCCTCCTTGCAGCAAGTTATAACTTGCCTCCAATTATACAAATAAAATGGAAAGAACCGAAACCACCTCTGCTCTCTTTAACATTTGTATTTGCAAGGTAAAATACATAAAAAAGAAAATTTACTTTTATCTTGGTGTGGTTCATTATGCAATCACAACTATAACATCATGATCTTATCCTCATTATAATGATCTTAAGTGATCTTAAGCCCATTTAAAATCTTAAGTGGGCACAATAATTGCATTGTTTTCCATTTCTGTAATCTCTCACACAAATTAATGCACTTTATCATCTCAGCCATCATGAGTATGTTATCATTCCCGTTTCTCAGATGAGACAGGTGAGGCCCAGAGATGCCAAAAGTGACATAGAGTTCCCCTCCAATACACACGCAAGATCAATTACATTCACTTACCACCAACCGGATATCCTTTATCTCCCCAATCCCCACATTGATTTTCTTCTTCTCATTCACAGGCAGCCGGATGTTTAAAAGGTAAAACTTATGGGCCACAGACCCAATTTCCATGAAAGGAAGGACATCGCATTCATAGTAACGGCCCTCATGCTCTGGGGTCTGGAAGAAGAGCAGAGGATTTGCGTCAGGGTCACTATTTCCAATAGATTGGCTCTGAATTCTGTTACCTTGGACCCATAACACCGATTTTTAAAAGCTAATAATAGAACCCGACATTTGAGGTAGAAAGCAGAAATACCTTCTGTCACCTAACACCTTTCTCGGCCGTTTAATCTTCATTAGAACCTCACATCTTACGATCTTGTCCACCAGGGCTACAAGAGTTTTTATCTGCAGTGTGTCGTCAGGGCCCTCCAATGCTCTGTGGAACAGTCAGCATCTTAAATGTTCAGGTGGAAGCTCTTGCTGAATCATTACACTCTTTAATGATAGCTAATTATTTTCCTGATTTTGGCCTGAGGGAAAGACTAGAAGAAGCTGAAAAATATTTTTATTCTCTTGTCAGGAGAAAAAAAGAAGACACAAGGAGGCCTTATATTTATGGATGGTAGAAACAGAATAAAGGTAATAATAAGATCAGTGGCCAGAGATACCCACTCAGAATTTTCTGCCTCCGGTGCTTCCTCACAGTCCAAGATGGCAGAAGGGAAGAGAAACTTTAATGAAAGAAAAATTTAGCCCAGTCTAGAAAAGCCTCTTGGACTTCCTGCCAATTTCAGAGATACTGTCCAGAGCACGGTGGAGGGAAATTGGAGAGTAGGGACACAGCTTTCTTTTGAGAACTAAATTCTGTTCTATCTTACCAAGACTCCCGCCTATATGCATCTGCTGACGGGTGGGGGCCAGGGGTAAATATGGGCATGTAGAGGCACGAGCTTCAGCAGGCAGGCACTTTCCCCTGATACAGAAGATGAAGGTCTGCCATCAATGTTCAGTTTCTATGTCAGCCTCAATGTTTACTTGGTACCTCTTGATCAAGTGATAGGGGAGATCTAATTGGTTGTTCCTTGGCCTGAATTTGCAAGACCTCCATAATTTGTGATAAATCTTCAGAGCAAAGATTCACTGAAGAAGTAAGAAGAAAGAAGATAACAGGAGTCTATATTCGAAGAGTGTGAAGGCAGGGGCTCTGCCCCTTCTGAGATCTTGGCTGGGGGCAAGGGTTCCTTACTGGACAGTCTGAGCTTAGAGTGCAGTAAACAGACCTTTGTACAGAGACAGACACACACTGTAAGGTGGAGGTGGGGAGGTGTGTCCCTCTCCTCTTTCCCACCATGGCAGACACAACCAACCAGTCGTCAGCAGTTTTTACCCCTAAGGTGTGAGTGGCTCTTGTCAGACACACCAGTTGATTAGAGTTGGCATGTGAGATTTTAAAAAAAAATGCTTCTGTAGAAAGAATGCTGCTTCTTTTTCAAACCTCAGCTGCAGGTCAGAGGATTCTTCCTATATTGATCATCTTTCTCTCCGCTCCACTCCTTTATCTCTTACACTTTCAAGTCAGGGAAGATGCAGGCTCTGCAGGTACCAGTGAAAATTCACTACAGGCTCTAATTCTCTAATTCGCCCTCGGATCAAGCTGCAGCGAGGAGGCTGATTATCCTCTGTGGTAACAGCAAGAGGACGGTTTCTGATTTGTTTCCAATCAGGGCCTGATTTTATTTATGGAAATTGAGAATTTGAGTGGGGAAGGGAACAAAACCTACTTAGTCTAACACCATCTGGTGTGTGTCTCGCCCAAGGTCTCAAACGTAGTAGCAGAACTGGGAGGAGGACATGGGCCCTGTCCAAAGGCAAGCATTGTGCTGTAATAAAGGTCCTGGACTCCAAGCCAGGAGGCTCTGATTCTTGTCCTGTCTCCCTTGCTGTGTACCTTGGACCACCCCCTGCCTCATGTGGCCTCAGTTTCCTCCTAAGTGAGAAAGTTAAGATGATCTCCAGGATCACTTCTAATCCCCCGCTATGGGTCTCTGGGTGTCTCACACTTTCCTGGCACTATGGAGTAACATGGCCACCCATGACACAAATTTACCTAAGTTTAAATTAAAATAGACACATTGGCGCCTGGGACACTGGCCCGACCTTCCTGTCTCAGAGACAAATTCGTTGTATCCTGTTAGAGACTTTTCTTCATGCACTAAAGTTCTGCCTCTGCCAGTATTTAGGGCAGGCATCCCCAAACTACGGCCTGAGGGCCGCATGCGGCCCCCTGAGGCCATTTATCTGGCCCCCCGCCGCCGCACTTCAGGAAGGGGCACCTCTTTCATTGGTGGTCAGTGAAAGGAGCACAGTATGTGGCGGCCCTCCAACGGTCTGAGGGACAGTGAACTGGCCCCCTGTGTAAAAAGTTTGGGGGCGCCTGATTTAGGGCATTTAAGAAGAAAGACTCCTCTCTTTCTTCTTCCCCCACCCCCACCTAGATCTCCCTCAACTCCAGCATGAGACTGGCTAATTAGGACAAATTACAGCAGGTGGCAACTTGACTTCTTTTTTTTTAAACTTCACAATCCACCAGGGAATCAAAAGCTTTAAAGCAATTTCTCATTTAATCTTGAGACTCAAGACTAAATTTCACTGCAATCAAAAAGCAGAGACTTGATGATTCATTTCCTTCATACCTTTCAAGGTTTAATATCTTTCTTGAAAGGGATCAACACATTCTAAAGATAATTAAGCAACCATCATAAGAAGCAGTTGCAGGCAAACACCCTTCTCCCTCCTGCTACTCAGTGCCCGCCGTGTGTATAAATAAGAGAAACGACTTTTCCCTTTTCTAAGGATAAAATTCTGGATCTGAAAGCCATCTAGCTTAGATATTCAACCAGTATTTCAAAGATGCAGTCAACTTGCAGAGATAGCTAGAAAGGTTTTAATTAATTTTCTCCATTGCATACAAAGATCTGAAAATGTTAGCTATTCCTCTCTCCTGCTTCCTCTAGTTTCTGTCTATCATTCATTTCTACCCACCAATGACTTTCTCTGGAGAACAGCCCTATATTTAGCACTCAGCAGAGGGTCTAGGGCAGTGGCTCTCAAACTTTATTAAGTTTAAGGTAATAAATTGAAGGCCTGTTAAAACAGATTTCTTGCTCCTACCCCCTGAGACTTTGACTTAATAGGTTTTGGGTGTGCCCTGGGAATCTGCCTTTCCTAAAAGCTCTCAGGTGATGCTGCACCTGTTAGTTCTCAGAGCATAATTTCTGTGGCTTTAGTCTAAGAAACCTGGGGAGGGAGACTCCCCTAGTGCTTCAGAAAACACTGCAATAGGTACTTGGGTTATAGGGTATAAGGTTTGCCCATGAGGGCCTTAGTTTATACCTTTTTTCCTAGTGACCCATCTGGCTAATCAAACATGTCCAAGATGAGATGTTAAATTATAAGGCCCTGCCTATGTTCATTGTATCATCTAGTCCAGGGGTGTCCAACATTTTGGCTTCCCTGGGCCACATTGGAAGGAGGAGAATTGTTTTGAGCCACACATAAAATATACTAACAATAGCTGATGAGCTAAAAAAAAAATCACAAAACAATCTTATAATGTTTTAAAAAATGTTTTAATGAATTTGCATTGGGCCACATTCAAAGCTGTCCTGGGCTGTATGTGGCCCGCAGGCAGCGAACTGGACAAGCTTGATCTAGGCCATACAAAGACTCCCAAGGTAGGTACTCTTACCTCATTTTGCAGAAGGAAAACTGAATTATGGGTTATGTAAGCTTAAAACTGAATTAAGGAAAACGGAATTAAGGATTATGTAAGCTTACCTGAGGTCACGCTGTCAGTGATCAAACCACCCAATCTTTTTCCTCTTTAGGAAAAAATGGCTAAGGCTGGGGCAATGTACTCAGAGGCTTCAACCGCGTATTTTTACGATTTCACAGGAAATCTTAATAACAGGCAAAAGCAAAGTTAGGAAAGGCCAGTGGTAGGAGATAGGAGGAAATAAAATGCTCCGTAGAGCAGGTATTACCAAAGCTGTTCTCATGCAAAGAAGTAAGGGACACACCTATGAAAAGTAAGCAAATCTTTCCAAATACCCGGGAACCAAGTAAAAACTCTGTTGGCTTAGACAGCAAGGGTCGTACCTTGGGAGATGTGAACGTGCATTTGAGTTTCCGCGGTACTCTCTCATGGGCCATTTCAGTCCACTCACCAAACGCATCATCACGGTAAGCCAGGGAAACGTCCATGGAAACTTCCGCATTTTCTCCTGCAAGAGAAAAGATGCAATTTCAGAAATGGCCTTTGGAAAGACATTTCAGAAACAGCTCAAAAAATCTGTATAGGCTCTGCCATGGAAACCAGTAAGACAAAAGAGAAATATTAATTTCTATCCAACTCCAAACCTGTAGGCTTAAAAGTCATTGGATGAAAGTCTAAGGCAAGTGTTGGGTCCCCTCTCGTGACCACTCTGCCAGAGTCAAGAGCTTCCATTTAAACACTTCCAGACACAGGGGCCTCACTCCCTCCGAGGGAACGCAGATGGTCACATCTCATCCTCCCGTAACTTGTACCACTGGTCCTAGGTCTGCCTGTAGAAGCCACATGGAAGGTGAGTCCTTCCTTCTTCCATAAAAAGTACCTTAACGCTCTTGAAAACCATAGCACATCTACCTGTGTCTTCTTTCCTCTCTGATAAATGTGACCAAATTTTTCAGCCACTCCTCAGACATGTCCCCCTGGGGCTCCCCTTTGGTCACAATTTGGTCTCTAAACATCCTTCTAAACTTATTCCCAAAAGCTCTCAAATATCGGATCTGCTACTTCTCCAAAAGTCAATATCCCTTCAGTGTGGATGAAGTTAATGTTAAAGGCAAAATGTTTTTCCAAAATTAAAGACTTATACACAGATAGGAATATAATAATAAATACATAATTGCACAAATAAATGTTCACACATACTTCCATAACAGTAGGGACTGGACCACAAACGGGTTTAACTCACCACAGAACTCATTAAGGAGATTAGATTAATAAAACATTGTACCTATTAATTTTGTCTGTTTTATACTATGATGAGCAAGTTCAAGAACAGAGAAGTCTTAATGAGGAAAAAAAACAAAGCATAAATCGCAGAAGGTCATCCTGCCTATGTTCATTATCTCACCTAGTCCAGGGTGTTCAATCTTTTGGATTCCCTGGTCCACACTGGAAGGAGAAGAATTGTCTTGAGCCACATATAAAATACACTAACAATAGCTGATGAGCTAAAAATAATAATAATAATAATAATCACAAAATAATGTTTTAAGAAAGTTAGTGAGGCCGGGCGCGGTGGCTCAAGCCTGTAATCCCAGCACTTTGGGAGGCCGAGGCGGGTGGATCACGAGGTCAAGAGATCGAGACCATCCTGGTCAATATGGTGAAACCCCGTCTCTACTAAAAATACAAAAAAGTAGCTGGGCATGGTGGCACATGCCTGTAATCTGAGCTACTCAGGAGGCTGAGGCAGGAGAATTGCCTGAACCCAGGAGGCAGAGGTTGCGGTGAGCCGAGATTGCGCCATTGCACTCCAGCCTGGGTAACAAGAGCGAAACTCCGTCTCAAAAAAAAAAAAAAAAAAAAAGAAAGTTAATGAATGACTGGAGATCCAGCCATCACTAGAGTTATGGAAATGAACACAGTTTTAGGCTCTGGCTATTCAGTCTTGAAGAAGTCTCAGTATCCAGGCACCTGAGTTTGCTCATCTAAGTAACACCTACCTCCTCAAAGGCTATGTCAAGGATTAAAAGTCAAGTTAGTGAAAGCATTGTATACTGCCTAGTAAGCAGTAGGTGCTTAATAAATGCCTACTCAACCTGAACACACACACACATCACAGGGAAACAAATAGGAGTAACTGCCCTCTGAAAAAGCAGAGCTTTTCTAGCCACTGGTCTACGGTGGCTTGAAGCTGACATGGCAGCGTGGCAGATCCCTGGTTATCAGAAGAAATCTACGAAGAGGAAGAGACGATCCATGGAAGAAGGAATTTGAGGCCATTCTGATACAGAGGAGACCCTCAATGAACATCAGGACCCACTATTCTATTATTATTATTATCATTTTTACCCCCAGTTAAACATGGTGAATTGGCCGCTGCGTTTTCCTCCTGAAATTCCACAGAATAAAGACAAAGACAGTAAAGAAAAGCAAAACATATTAAATCACAGGGGAAAAAACTAACTGTAAAGACATAAGCAGACTAGAGTTTCAATTTTTTTTTTTTTTTGAGATTGAGTTTCGCTCTTGTTGCCCAGGCTGGCATGCGATGGTGTGCTCCTGGCTTACCCCAACCTTCACTTCTAGGGTTCAAGTGACTCTCCTGCCTCAGCCTCCCAAGTGACTGGGATTACAGGCATGTGCCAGCACACCTGGCTAATTTTATATTTTTAATAGAGACAGGATTTCTCTATGTTGGTCAGGCTGGTCTTGAACTCCTGACCTCAGGTGATCCGCCTACCTCGGCTTCCCAAAGTGTAGGGATTACAGGCATGAGCCACTGTGCCCGGCCTCAAAATTTTTTTAAGAGAAAAAAAAAATACATGAAGTAGGGTTTCCTGACAGCCACAGCCTACACTCTTACAGAGGGGATATTCTAGACGAGTGAGCCAATATGTCTGCAGGAACCTGAAGCCACTCAGAATTTCAAAGTGCCAGGGGCTGCAGAAGGCAGAACAAAGCATGGCACTGACAATGGGGTGACAGGGTCAAAGTCTGCACACAAAACGGCTGGACCTCAGTTCTCCCACATCTTCCCATCTCTGCGCAGTCCAAGGACAGACTGGACTTGAGGACACCAGGGCAATACACAGACCCAGGGCTGGATGTGGGGAAGAGCAAGGGTCTGTAGGAGAAACTCCCAGCTTGGCAGAAGCAATGCTCAGAGTTGGTATCTCCCCTTGGTCAGGGACCAAGCTGGCTACAACTTCTCCCCACTTAGTAGCCTCAGTGGTCAACAGAAAGAATCAGCCAGAGCTTCCATGGAGTCCAATCTTAGGCAATAAAGTACATCCTACTTCTAACACTGAGAGTAGCAACTGGGACTTTCAACTGTATTGGAAAGGGTGCTTGGAGAACCACAAGGGTACAAACACGAAAAGCTGTAAGAAGGTCATCAGCTCACATATAGGCTACGAATAGCTCACATGTATGAGACTATGTTCTCCTTGGAGCCATAGGTTCAGAACAACACTGGCCTTAGACACAGGCAAGAGGAGCCTTTGAAGTTTGGGCCCCACACTTTTAAAGGGTCCCACTCTGTCAGCTGTTCACTATTTCTTTTTTTTTTTTTTTTTTTTTGAGACGGAGTCTTACCCTGTAGCCAAGCTCGAGTGCAGTGGCGTAATCTCAGCTCACTGCAACCTCTGCCTCCTGGGTCTAAGAGATTCCCTTGCCTCAGCAACCCAAGTAGCTGGGACTACAGGCATGTACCTTCACGCCCAGCTAATTTTTGTATTTTTAGTAGAGATGGGGTTCCACCACATTGGCAAGATGATCTTCATCTCTTCACCTCGTGATCCACCCACCTTGGCCTCCCAAAGTCCTGGGATTACAGGCGTAAGCCACTGTGCCCAGCCAGCTGTTCCCTTCTTTATAGGACAAGAAGACTCCCAAGTGAAGAGGATATGTATACCCAGGGCCTACCAACCCCGTCACTTCTAGACTATGCTCCGAGATTCTGCATAGACAGTTCTGAACTCTAATCTTACTTCCAAGGTCTGTGTGGCCTCTTTCCATATCTGGCTTCCCAAGAGGAACTAGACAACCACTTGTGTGCTCTTGGGAGGGGTGGGGGTGAAAAGGCTATTTGTTGGAAGGCATGAACAGAGCTTGAGCTTGGAAGTTAGGGTGTCCATACACAAGCATGCAAGCCTCCTCTCTTTATGGGATGGAGCCAGAAGTGGGGAGAAAAGGGGTGTAGGGGCCCACACTTCTTGGCCAGTCACATTTTGGCACAGAATTCCAAGTTGTTCACGAATCCTCAATTCAAACCTGACCATTCAGTTTATGATGTAGGTAACTCATCATCAATGAGCTTGTACTTGGCTTACCAGTTTGCTGGCCTGATTGACCACTTTTAAATATTTAGACACATGACAGGCATGCCTTCATTCAAACTCTTTCCCCAAGCCCCACATATGTTTGAGGTGGGCCTGGTTCAGAGCAGCCTCAGAGAGACAAAGCGCGATAAGATTGCTTCCTTGCCTGGTCCCAGCTTCAAAACTTATTCGCTCTATTAGGGATCCCAAAGGAAAAACTGTTTTAAAATATGTAGTTTAAAACAGTTACTGCAAACAGTATTTTAGTGTACAGTTACTACATATTAAGATCCCATGGTTTCTGTGCTTTCATGTAAATTACCTCATTTAATGTTCCCAACAATTCCATGAAGTGGACATGAATACTGCCTTTTAATTAATGAGTAACGTGATGCCCCCAGATCTTAAGGAACTTGTATAAAGTCATTGAAATTGCCTTAAAATAAAATCACTTTTTTTTGTATTGCTTAAAGAAAACTGGCTAACTTGTGATAAAAGAAGCCCCTCAAAGCAGTCACACAATATGAATATGCTAAGTCTTTAATAAGAGACAGAGCTCTCCTTCCTCAGAGGTTAACATGCACCAGCCTTCTTCAGGCCTCACATCCATCATGGGAAGAAGATGTTATAAAAATTGCCAGAGAATATATGGCTAGTAAACAGGAAAACTTCAGTCTGGATCACATGAGGACCACACTGCACTCTCCTACCTTTGTGGGTGAAAACAAACAACAAACTAACCAAAAAACACAGAATTCAAAAGAAACTTACAGCTGAATCAAGCAGACTTGGTCAAAGAGCCAGGCAACTCAGACTAAACACCTTTCCAGCTTTCTATAGGAGAGAAACAGGAAGTGTTCCTGGGGGGCTGTAAGTATAGCTCATAAGAATGTCTGGAATTTTCTAATCTCAGCTTTCTAAAGCCTTCTTCTATTGGTTGTTAAATTTATAGCATGTTCTGCTGCCTTCTCGAGTTATCATCTCCTTACTCCCTGTGCAATCTGAAGCAGAGGTGTTATTCCTGTGTTTGAGGTGAAGATGCCAAAACTCAGAAAGCCCTGCCCCTAGAAATACCAGACTGAGGACCCTGGAGCTTCATAGCCTGTAGTCTCATAGCATCCTGCCATCTTTTATGATATACATAAAAAATAGAAACCACAGGGAGAATGGCCTGTTCAAGTGACCTTCA